AGATATGTAGGAATCAATGCCACAGAAATCAACCATTCAGCTGGTCGATACCATCCGGGGCAGTCTCCTCCTTTAGAAGCTGGCTTAGAGGTAAGAGTTAAAAAAATCTGGAGCCAAGATCCCTTAAAACACCCATATACGATGGAACCCTGCCTTATGGCCACTTCGTTGTTATGGCCACCTTGTTTTGGCCGCCCAGCAAAATGGCCATACGTTTTCTTGTAGAGAAACCCTCGTTAATACGGTCACCTCGTGATTATGGCCAATTTTTTTTTGGCCCATTGGTGACCGTATTAACAAGGTTCCACTGTATTACATGCCAACTCTCCAGGGTTATCCAGATTTCTCCATGATATAGCACAAATCTTCAAGTCTTCTACAGGTCAGCGTTCTCTTAGTTTGGAAGTTAGTCGATTACTCCCAAAACTTTGAAACGCTTTTGATCATAGTATGGTTTCCATGGTTTTTTTGGACGTATTTTCATCTCTGACAAGACCGTCTCGTCAAAAAAGCAAATTTTGATAGTCTAAATTTCATGTAAGACTTTGTATAATGTCCTGAGCCATCCCAATCTGTTATAATTTGGGACTGGGTCGATTTGTGTTGGTGGAGGGGGTGGGAGGGTAAGGGGGGGTAAAAAGGGGGTGGTTGATGTTTGCAAAGTACGGCAAAAGAGACGGTCTCCGGATTTTAAATTATTCTCCAGAGGTTGGCATGTCTGGAAACTCATATTTCCATTGCCATATGAAAAAACACTTGCTGTTGTTTTTAAGGTTGGAAACGTGCCTTGTTTGGGTCGTCATTCATCTATAGTTTTGTAACCCAATAAAACATCTTGTTCTTAGAGCTTGGTGGTGCCATCAGAAAATAACATAATACCTTTATCTTGTTTGGAGCTAGACGGCAGGCAGTCTCTTATTTTTCTTTGCAAATTTACTGCATGCGAAAGCCAAGCACATGCCGTGATAAATGAGGGTGTAAGCCGGAGAAGAAAAAATAAGAGACTGCTGACTTTGTTGTCCTGTCTGGGGACAACGAAGCTGTCAAGGAAATTTAATTAACCAATTAGACCCAAGAAACGTGAAACAGTTTATAACAAAACATAAACTACTGAATAATTTATGGTAAGATTGCCTGGAATTTGTTTCCTTGAGGAAATTTACACCAGTTTTCTCCTGTAAGATATCCTAAAACATTTTAGTTTACAAATGTTTACTGCTTGATTCGTTATTGTTCGTAGTTGGTTAAATCTTAGTCTTGACGTATGACTATTTTTACCGCTTGCAACTCCACCAGAGACCTGTCAATGATCTGTCAACAGCTGTTAAATTGACCAATCAGTTACTCTATTTCTGGGCTGACAGAGGGTTTTTTACTTCAAGGACCGTGTTTGCAATTCTACAGGCTGAGATAAGATCTAGATGGATTTTAACAGAAAAGGTGGACTGCCAGCAGTCTAGTTTGGGGCTCATGACATTGATCATACATAACATTTTTCTTAATAGGGTATAGGAGAAGTGGTGTCAACAGGCGAGAAATGTACAGATGTTCCCATTGGTCAAGCTGTAGGATATTTTAAGTATGGAAGCTTCTCAGAATACATGGTTAGTGTTTGTTTCTGATCTACAAAATAATAATAAAAACTGTTGTGTCAAGCTTGGAGTATTTCCTGGTTTTCCTGCTTCTCTGATTCTTGTCTAACAATGGTACTTCTTTTCGTTGAAAGCATTCCACCCTAAATTGGTCTTATATCTCCATACCATTATTTTGTGCTGGAAACGCTAATATTATAAAGCTGAAGTTTTTTTATAGCAATCTTTGTTCATTTCTCTCGGCGGCCTCCCTCTTAGACTTACGGTATCTTTATGAGTTGATGACTGGCAGCATTGGTTCAAGGTTAACTTAGCCTAAATAAAATCTAGCCACATTTAAAATTCTGAATCTGCCACTTAGGATATTTATTCCATGTACCTATTTTTTATTTTCATTTTACAATTTTTCTTTAGACAATTCCTTCAAAACATGTGTTCCCCCTACCAAGAATAGATCCAGCTTATGTTTCCTTGCTAATCAGTGGACTGACTGCTGGTATTGCTCTTGAAAAAGTAAGTGGAATATTTAATGGCTACTGTAATAATATTAAACTTGCAGTGTACTTAGTTGGAGATGTGCATGAGCTTGCTTCCCAAAACTTTTATAGGTATCCAAAAATGATCCACCCATACCCCGTAGGCCAGTATAGGTGGATCACCCCACCCCTCCGATATCTCTAGTTTCACTTATTATTTTCTCCAACACTCACAGTTTGCAAAAGCCTGCTCACAATCAGCTCTAAATATGGTTGCGTCTGCGGGCTAAGTTTGTAATGATTGTCACTAAACAGCTGTTGATGATTCCTTGAAAACGTAAGCATTTGATTTTCATGAACACAAAATTTTCTCTTACCATTATCAGACATACATTTTTATTTTAAATTTATTGACCCTCTTGACCCAGTTCCTCGAAAGATGGTTAAGTTTAACCAAGAGCACAGTCCTCTTGAACATGTAACTTGAGCTTACAAATACTGTTGAGTCTTTACTCTGAGATACAGTTATGATATAAACAACAAAAGTTACTCCAAGCAGGACATAGGAAGGTAAATACAAAAACAGGAACAAATTTTTAATCCTGGATTAGCACTCTTTGAATTGGCCTTTCAGGAACCAGGTACAGAAGTGTATTAGAGTGCTTTTTCTCCTCAGGTTGGTGAAATTAAGAAGAATGAAACAGTTCTAGTGACAGGTAAATATAAACTAACACTCCCAAAATTCCCCTTTCCCCTATTAATGATCATTAACACCTCCTGGGCAGGCTAACTAATTTATTATTATCTTGTGCATTGAAAAACTACTCAATCAAAGATAGAGCCTTCTTGACTATCTTAAGTTTCAGAAACTGTGAATGAATAAAGTAATCTGACAGGCAGGATCCTGAGCTAAGTTTCTTCACAAATTTGATTTTCATGCAAGTTTTACTTTGAATTATATCCTGTCATTTTATCCTACAGCTGCAGCTGGTGGAACTGGTCAATTTGCGGTAAGTAAAAAAAATAACACCAATGACACTTTCAAGAGCTCTTTGTAGCCTCATTGTTCTTCACTGATGGAGACCATTATGACAAGGAAATCCTCGTGTTGCAGGTTCAACTCGCTAAATTGGCTGGATGTCATGTGATAGGCACGTGTTCAACAGATGCTAAAGGGGAGTTTTTAAAGGTAAGTCTTTTGATGTTTCTCCTGGGGCCCCTTTTCTCGAAGGTATCAGTTGCTCGGGCTAGCAGGAAAGCTGTGAGATTGTCGCGTTTTCAAATTCAAGCTTGAAGTTGTAAATTTTATTTTACATTGTTAGAAAGGTTTTTCCATAGAACAAGATGTAAATATAAATAAGCTACCAAACATGACCCATTTGGCCAATCTGAAAACGAATGTTATAACCGAAATATGAACTTATCATAGTTCAAATACAAATGCCCCTCTAGTGCCACTGGAAAAGCGCATCAGATGACAAAGAGGACAAAGATACTCTTCTTATAAAAGGGAGTTGAGTGCCTTCTTGATGCTGGGAAGTGCCAAAGTTAATGAAAACTAACCGAAATTGGTTGTTCTTAACTTTGTGACATTGGGAGGAGGATCGAGAAGGTTGGCCGATAAAAGAAAAGACTCTCATTTTGCTGGTTAGGAATTAAACAAATTCAAATGTACAGTAGCCATGCGAAGTTCCCCTTGATACACCGATCCCATGGAAAATAACAACGCTGGGACTACTGTTGTGCTTAAAAGGGTTCAAAGAGAAAATCCACTCCTTCTTGTTATCCTGCGTAACATTCGCTTCAGTTTCCATTTAGCCATGCTGGAGAAGAGCAGAAGAAGTGCGCGGGCATTGGCTAAAACCAGGGTGGATAAACCGTCCTGGGTAAAACAGAGCAAAGAAATAGCAGTGTTTGAAGCGGGGAGGTTTGTTGAGGTTGCATGCCCCCGCGGGTTCCCCTGCATGGTTAAATGAACACGGAAATGACTGTTATGCATCCTACGCCTTCTTCTGCTCTATGACAGCTAGAATTCTAGCAGTCCCTTTTCACCCAACTAAGTCAAGGCTTTGGACTGGAGAAAGGAAACGACCCGAGCGGGAACTCCTGTTTGCCTCATTTGCTTGTTTGTGGCATGCTCCCTCGTTAGAAAATCCTGCGGGACTGTAAGCAGTCTTTATGGCAACACCCATCGGAGATTAACATAAAGTTTTTAAAACGATGTTTGACCCGCGGGAAAAAGCAGACAATAGCACTTGTAAAGCATGTATCTATTTTCTTGTATATCTACAGCAACTGCACCTCATTTCCCGTCGATCCGGATGAGAATTGGAAAATACAGTATAGTAACATATTCATGTATATGTTTCTTGTTAGTCTCTTGGTTGTGACCGGCCAGTAAACTACAAGACTGAGAACCTGGATCAAGTACTGAAGAAAGAGTATCCCGTAAGTGTGAATCTGATGACATTTTTTGTTGCTAGCGGCTTTTGTTCAGCACCTCTCGCTTCCGCAAACAGCAATTTGCCCTTCCCAACTTCCCCTGCGTACACATGCTTTCGTTTTTCCCTTTCCCCAACCTCTCTAAGACACAAAGGGGCCTCTACGTAGGAGAGGTACATTCCATCTGAACTGCTTAATATCGACGCTGTAATGACGGATTGCGGATGTGTCCGTATGATAAAAGTAACAATGGCCTCTTTGAGTCTCTGCAGCTGGTCATTCACGTGGTACAAAACCCCTATGCGGGAGGGCAAGGGATGCACTGGCACAAGACGAACAGAGGAAATTACCACTTTTAATGATGTTATCTCTTTGTTTGTCTTGTCCCAGTGTTTCTCTTGACTCCGTACACTCGCGAAGCAATTGACTGCGAACAACATCTAACTTCATTTTCTAGACCCACATGAGGAGATATATAGCGGCGGAGGCAACGAGAGCAACTCTGCCAAGTATCGCGTTAGTAATAAGTACATTTTATTCGACGCTCCTTAAACAACTACGCAAGTCAACACAAGACATGGAGATTTTATATCTCTTTCTGGACTTGGCATAGGTGCCGTCGCTACGCTTGATTTAACCCCAGAAAAATTCGTTCATGTTCGATAATTAAAACACATCAGAATAATCGTAATGAAGGTTTGAAAAAACGCAACGTTTTCATTGCTGTCGCTACTTGCGTTATTTGCCTTCTAGCAAATGTCGTCGTCTCCGTCTGTCACGGAAGACAATGTATGCGCCGGAAATGTCAGTTCGCTGCGGAGCAGTGTTATTTGTCTTCTAGCAAATGTCGTCGTCTCCGTCTGTCTCGAAAGACAATGTACTACGCCGGAAATGTCAGTTCGCTGCGGAGCAACGTCGACTGTGACTCTTAAGTCCAATTCTGGAAAGGCAGTCTTTGTCACAGTTGCTGTAAGTATGGGGTGTTGGTAGCGAGGGTGCTGAAGCTACCCTCGCTCTCTGTCGCTCCCTTTTGTCATGCCACTGCTCTTCCCTCCAGGCTTCTGCTCTCCTCACCCCTGTGCGCACCACGTGACGCCAGTTGCTGCGGTCAGCTGAGGCTGCTAACAAAAGTAGAACATCGATTAATAATGGATAATTTCCTTTCTGTACGTGTTTGATGTTGTAGAACGGATGCGATGTGGTTTACGAATCCATAGGGGGAGAAATGTTTGATACCTGTGTCAATAGGTAAGCATTATGATCCATTAAATTAAATTATTCTCTCCTATTTGAACACAGGTAGCCCAAGATCGAAATATGAGCATCGACATTGTCGCGTAATCTACTTCAAAATATAACGATGTTTGTGCTCTCTATAATTCTTCACCACAGGAATACCAATGTAAAATAACTCAATCAACAGGTATGGCAACCCAAATGACTCCAGGTTTTATCTGGCAGTAAATCGCATAACCGTCCAGACTTTTAGAGAGAAAAAACAACAACAAAGTCGAGTCTTTTTCGACGCTATTTTTGATGTCTACACTCACGTGGATAACAGAGAAAGAGTTGGAGCTAGTAATTGCAAACAAAGGAGACTAATTTCGTTGCAAGAAAAACATGAAAATGTCATAGCGGCGGTGAAAAAATGAGACATGCTAGCGGCCAGCTACGTAGGTGAAAATGAGCGGCAGTGAAAAAATTAAAAGCGAACAGGAACACAAGCAACAAAATTTTTTGTGAGCACGTACGACAATTCCGCCATACAGATAATGCCGTAACCATGAAGTTTCTCGCTTTAGTCGTGCAAAACAACAGCAAAGAAATGTACAAAAAAGTTTGCTGCACGTGCAAATTTTTTTTTTTTAATGCTTATTATAGCTACACGTGCAAATTTGTTTTTTTTTTGCTAATAAGAGCTGTACGTGCAAATTTGTTTTAGTGCTCTGAATTAGACTATTGATTTTGACTTCATTCTCATTGTCGTCCCCGTTTAACAGTGCACGATTTACTTTTTGGTTATAAGTATATTAAGGGCCCAGTGACCTATCTTTTGAAGCCGTTGTTAGGGAAAAATTTTGGTGGGCTCCTTTCGTCATGCATTGGTCATTTTATAGCACTGTACTTTCTAGTGATATGCAAATATAAATATGACCTCATCGGACCACGCCCACGCTCACGTGACCAGATTCTTGTCTACGCCTCAACCAAGGCGGATTCTTTTGATTGTTCGTAGGTTTCTGTTATTAAACCTTCTTGCCAAACCTCAAATTCAGTGCAAATAAAACTCCTGAGGATAGTTCTAGGTACCACGCCACCCTGACTCGTAATGTTTGTTGCTTTGTTTTCTGTCAAATAAGATTGGCGACGAAAGGCCGCTTGGTAACTATTGGTTTCATCACTGGCTACAAATCCAAACTGGGATTTTCCCCTGTCAAAAACGCTACTTTAATCCCTAAGGTAAGAGAGATAATCTCCAAACAAGTCAATAGCTTAAACAATAAGATCAATAAGCGACAGTTATTACCAAACGGGAATTTTGTTTGTCCATTAACTGTTGGTTCCTGCTTAATACCAATGTATGACTTTATCATTGTCAATATCTATCAAAAAGGGTATATGTTATTAATAAATTTATCATTTAAGAGCGCCTGTCTGTAAAAATCAGACAAATTCAAAATTTCGCGGCAAGGGTGGAAAATTCGATTTCTTTCATATTTTAATGTTACATAGGCTAGGGTATTACTAAAATCACTGTATAGTTCTTTCGG